TCACATGTCACAGTAAAGGTGACATCAAAGGTAGGGGGATGTTCACTCTCCGGTCCAAAAGGAAATGAGAACACATATCTATGGATTTTGTAGTGGTTACCAAGGACACGATCAAATCATGATACTATCTGGTTGTGGTAGACCGTTGACCAAAATCTGCTCACTTTTTGGCAACAAGGAGCTCGGACTATGTGGACAAGTTAGGCAGGCTTTACGTGAAGGAAGTGCTCCGCATACATGGAATTCTTGTATCCATCGTATCTAACAGAGACCTTAGATTACCTCCAGATTATGAGGAAGCTTTCAGCAGGCAATCGGCACAAACCTGAATTTTAGTATAGCCTTTCACCCACAAATAGATGGATAGAGAGAAAGAACTATTCAGACACTAGAAGATATGCTACGAATTTGTGTACTTGATTTCGGTGGAAATTGGGATGAATTATTGCTTCTGATGGAATTCTCATATAACAATAGTTATCACGCCAGCATAGGCATGGTCCCATATGAAGCCCTTTGCGGGAGATCTTGCAAATCGCCAATATACTTGGAGGAGGTTGGAGAAAGGAGACTAATCGGATTGGAACTAGTGGAAAAGACCACCACAAAGGTAACTATAATCGAGAAAAATCTCCAGACAACACAATGCAAACAGAAAAACTATGCAGATAACAGAAGAAGAGATCTAAGATTTGAAACCGGGGATCATGTATTCCTCAAGATGTCCCCAATGAAAGGTTTATTGAGGTTTGAGAAGAAAGAGAAGTTGGGCCCTCGGTTTATAGGGCCCTTCGAGGTATTGACAAGGGTGGGCGTAGCAGCCTACAGGCTAGCACTGCCGCCAGAGTACTCAAGCATACACAATGTTTTTCATGTATCGATGTTACGCAGATACCACCCGGATCTGTCCCACATCATACAACATGAGACACTATCCCTATAGAAGGACACGACGTACGAAGAAAGACCAGTTTGTATACTCGAAAGACAGGAGAAGATGCTGAGAAATCGAACCATACCCATGGTGAAAGTCTTATGGCAACATCACCCCAAAGAAGGGGCAACTTGGGAACGAGAAGATATGATGAAGATGAACCACCCTCAACTGTTTGAACAAATATGATAATGTACCAAATTTGGGGACAAATTTTCTTTTAGGGGAATATGTTGTAACGAGGGGAAAAATCTTATAACCCTGGGATTCAAGGTAGTGTATTAGGAATTTATAAATTGAGAAAAATATAAATACATATATATAGATGAAAAAAAGAAGAATTATTCATTGTTCATATATGCCCACTGAATTAATAAACTCTTATGTGAGGGAAATGAACGAAAAAGCCAGTGCAAATATGGGCAAAAATGCAAATTTCAGGATTTTGCACAGGTCAGCCAAAGAAAGGTAAAATGGACCAATCACTGGCAGACCAGTGTACAGGCTACGTCAGAGCCTGCAATTTTAGGCAGGAATGGTCCAGATTTTGCCATATGGACCTGAGGTGGCGCAAGGAACGGTTCTAGAGAGGAAAATGAGATAGACGGCCCAAATTGAGTGTAACATTCCAAGGCACTGATCATTTTTCCCTTCACCATAAAAGGGGGGCATTGAGTTGCAGAGAAAGGAAGAAAAAAATTGGGAACTCGCCTGGTGAAAACAAAGGGGGATTTACAAACGGTTCAAGCTGCAGGAGAGCCAGCTTGGGAAGAAAAAGTTGATCGACTCAACGCCGTCGCTGCGAACAAGGGTAAGTTCCATTTGTTTTTCACATCTTGAAATAGAAATTTAAATACTAAATTTCTTTGAAAATAGAAATGATTATGGTGTTGTTGAAAGAGATTTTAGGTAGATTTGGATGAGGGAATCTATCAAGGGAGTTAAAGGCATCATCGGAGGTGAAATCCTGGAAAGATATGGAGAGGGGAGATCTATCCAGGAAAATCGAAGGAGTAATGGGATGAGGTAAGAAAAAGAGAATTGAGGGGAGTTGTTTAGAGTGAGGAGGAGGAACAAATGAGAGAAAGGGATCAGCGGACAAGGAAGAAAATAGAGGGACACCTGCAGTGAGAGTGCTACCTATTATTATTCTGGATATATAAATATATATATACTCACATTTCTGTATTTAGCGATAAATGTTTCTCTTAAGTGTTTGGTGTGCTCTCGTGACGGAAGGAAGTATATATAAATTGGCCCAGTTACTGTATCGAGGGGCCCCGAGGGTGTATTTTGGCATTAAGATACCGTTTGGGAATGGTCTGAATATACATATATATTGGTGTTACTGTTCTGTGATGCTGAGAAGAAAAGCGAATAGAGTTCTGCTGTGGCCCAGTTATTGGGTCGAAGGGTTGATGGGGAACTGATTGTGTTCCGTGATGAGCTTCTATGTGAGGCATAAATTGTTTAGCTGTGGCCCTTTTAAGGGTGCCCCGGAATTTGTTTACATATTTTATTTTTGTTCAGATATATATGTATATATATATATTGACTTGCTGTAAGCAATGGAGGTGCAAGCATTCGGGTCCTGAATGCTGTAGAGTTCTGGAAGAATACTGCATGGGTGAGTCAGGTTTGTGACAAGAGATGATATAAATAAATCAGAGGAAGAGTTGAAGGGTTATGGTGAGAAAATGATACTGGCAAGAGTTAGAGACGACAGGAGAAATTGGGTAGAAATTAGCTGTTTAGGCTGGAGAGGGACTGAACAGAGGGCAGTACTGAGAGTTGATGATTTAATTTTTTTCCCTTCTTGGTAGGCTGTGCGGAGAAAAAAAAAGGATAGCAGGGGGTATACTGATGGGAATTAACCCAAATATTGATGATAAAAAATAACAGCAAATTGAATAAATAAGAAAGGGAAGTAGAAATAGAGGTGGAACAGAAAGGGATACTGGGCAGGGGTTTTGGGAGAAATTAGGAAATATCTAGGAGGGGGAAATATGTGATCAGAATATAGGCAGATGATACAGACAGTGATAGGGTTGGAGAAGAGGAAGCTGATAGGTTGTATGATACCCAGTACCGGAAATTTAGTTTTAAATGTTTCTATTTACTTGGGTGTGAATTTCAAATTTTACTTCTTGGGCATTGTAGCTTATTATGTAGTTTATTACAGAACAGGTGAAGCTGGAACAGGAACCGGAAGTGCAAGAAGCGTGCCTCCAGACTTGAGAATGGATAGGACGTACAACATTGTAACTATCGCTGACTTCGAATGTAGTGAGAAACTGTATCAGCATTGTTCTAGATATATATGTCCCACCCAGGAAATTGAATTACTATTTACTTTCATTATAATTATTTGGTGACCTAGTATAGTGGCTGCAGGTGGTATAGTTGAGATGGTAAATACATGAATATATATGGACATGTATACATGGGTTTCATATAGAATGAAAATGCATGCAGATTGAGGTTTTGTGATGGAATGCTTTACGAACTGTTCAGGATGTGAATAAGCCTTTCAGGTTGATTGATAGAATAACTGGCTCAGAAGCTGGGTTGTTACAGTAAAGGAGATAATGGGTTTCCATGCCTGAGATCGTTTTGGAAATCTGACACCCTCAACCATTCATCCTTGAACCTAAATGGGCAAGGTCTCATTTGATACTATTAGAATTCAAACAAATGGAAAAATGGTCCGAGATCATGCACTAGAGATGTCTCTGGATTAGCCTTGTAGTCTGAGATTGAAAGGAGACACAAATTAAGAATCAATTTATCTTGGAGCAATTAGGATGAGATCTTTGGTTAGACCAGATCCACCCGTGATTTTGAGAGAGGAAAGTCTTTAAGTTCTGATCTATCCACAATGTCTTGGAATTCCTTGGCACAAACCCTTGAGAACTGCATTCAAGAACACTCACATATCTTGAGAACTATGTTAAAGTCACTCCCTACAACCTATGGATGATCCCATTTCCTCCTACATTTCTCTAGATCACTCCACAATCTTTTCCTCTCTCTCTCCTCACCTCTGCCATTAGCCCCAGTAAGTAAATAACTATAACGACTCCCCGTACATTCAAGCAAGTGTGAGATAAAGCACTCACCCATATCGAAGTCCTTATAGTGAAGAGTATTCTCATTCCAAGGCACTACAATTCCACCAGCCGTAATTGCAGCAACTCTCGCCAACACACCCTAATCTTTCAAATACTGAGTGTCAGGCTATCAAAGAAAGATTCCACTTTTGTTTCTTGTAAGCAAATCAATTTCCATCTCAACAAGCATCCTTTTACAGCTGATCTCTTCTTATGATCATTCAGGTCCCTTATATTTTGAAAATAATGCACTCTAACATAAGGCTAGCACTGAAGTTTCACCATTCTGTCCCTTCTTGCCCTTGTTAGATTTCTCATTGTTAATTGTTGATTGTAGTTTCATTATTAATTTGTTGATTGTTAGATTTCTCATTATTAATTGCTGATGTCCCCTATCATGTCTCACCCAACAGCTTTTATTCTCATATCAGTTTGGGCCACAGAAAGAAATTTATGCTTGTTATACTCTCAAATGGCTTGTGCTTGGAATCTGTAAATTATTTGTGGTGGACCAGATATTAATATTTGCTGCATATAGTTAAAGCTATCTTAACTTAGGTTGTTTTGTTGTGTCTGTCAAATGAAATTTAGTAACACCAAATGTGGTTATTCTTCATTAAAAAATATTGCTTGCAATTCTTTTGGTTATAAAAAATTAGAAGAATGCTTTGCTTGCTTTTTATCCTTTGAAACTGCTATGTTTCCAAAAGATAAATGTGGGTTATTTGGAGAATTAGACATATAGTTATGGAAGAGAATGATCTGACCCAGGTGTTAACTCAATAGCATTTCTGAGATTTTGGACATGAGCTGGAAATAAAATAGTGAAAGCGACAAGATGAATTTTCTTCTTGTGAAACAACTTTAAGGTTAGCATAATCTAATTGGTTGCTCATGTTTTATGCAGACAAATACGAGTGGTCAAGCTCCTCAAGGAAGTGAGTCAGATGGAATGCATGGGAATGTTGGTGGTCAAAACCAAGCAGCATATCAGACGCAATCTGGACAGGCCTTACCCCAATCGTCACCTCAAGTTGTACAAGTTCCTCTCTCTGCAGCAACAGCAGCACCTTTGCCTTCATTTCATGCGGTAGTTACACCTTCCTCTTTGGTGTTGCCTGAGATATACCATATATGAATTTGATTACTTATAAAATCACTTTATCATTCTTGGTTCAGCCCATTCCTGATTCTCTGAGCACCCTTTTGGAGTTTACACGTCACATGGAGCAGGCACTATCACAAAATGGTGATGGTAAGAAGTACTGTCTCTGAAATTGTTGAAATTGAATGCCACTACTAGTAGGTTATAAAGTCAGGCTATCAACCTTATAATTCTTCAGGTAGCACTGAAGAACTACCAAGGGTGGAACTGCGTCCTGGTCCACAAGGTTTACCGACACCTGAAGCACTGAGCACTGTCATGCGTCAAGCACAAAGGCTTCTTAGTGGCAATGCTACTGCTGCACTATCTGTAAATTTTTGTCTATTTTTGTTGTCTTGCACAGACATATTTGGAATTTTTTTGCCATTTTTAATTATTAAATGAGCATATATATATATATATATGTAGGTACTTTATTGCTTTTGGTGCTTGTGATAATCAGAAGTTTTGAATATGAGATTCTTTTTTCTTAGAGTGAGAAAATCTCTCCCTATCATTCACCATTTTCCTGTGAATTTTTTTATCTGATTATTGTTATCTGTAATTTGCTGCAACTTTGTAGCATCTTGCAGGGCGCCTGGAGCAAGAAGGTAGTTCTTCCAATCCTGCTGTAAGGGGGGGAATACAGTCCGAGTCATTGCAAGTTGGCCTTGCAATGCAACATCTAGGAGCTCTTCTGCTAGAGCTTGGTCGTACAATTATGACACTGCGAATGGGACAGTCTCCTGTACGATCAAATTCTTTCTCTAATGCTACTTTAGTTTATAATTTCTACAATGTAGATAACTGTTTATATGTTATGTTCTACAGGCAGAATCATCTGTTAATGCTGGTCCGGCAGTTTATATATCTCCATCAGGGCCCAATCCCATAATGGTTCAGGTTGGTCTGTAATTTCGGACTGTAGGGAGCTCAATAGGATCGAACTACATGTTTTTTTTTCCTTAGTTTGTCATCATTTATTTTCCTTGCTATGACTCTCTTTTACCATGGTTTGTTCAGTCAGATTCAGATGGTTCTCTCCATGAAAACTGTAGTGGTTTTAAAGAAATATTGGATCTTTGAGACACATGTTGAGTTCATGACATGTATATACCTTGTAGAGTTGCATAAAGTTCTACCTATGATGTTATCTGCTTATTGATATCTTGGAATAATGTCTTTACAATATATTTTGACATGAAAGAATACACTACTCTTGTATGACCAAATGTTGTTGGATATTGGAGATTCTACTTTTGCTCTTAATGAGCCAAAGGAATTTTTATGCATAAGTTACCAAGGATAAACAGGAAAACAGAAAAACATGTATACAACTTGGTGCCCGTTATTAATGATACTTTACACTTTCCATTAAAAAAAAAAAAAGAAAACAGACAGTCGTTGGATAAGACTTTTCTAGTAAGGTTAATAATATAAACGAGGGCTGAAAGGCATATGTGACATCAAGAATTTGTTTACTGTTAACAAAGGGCATCTGCAATTTGCCAATTACTCTTCCCACCAACTTACCCAGTGAAGCAGCTAGAAGCATTGCCAATAACTTATATATAGTCAACAAAACTTATGGTCTGAACTGCTTCACATCGCTTGCCATAGAGAAAGTACTTGTCAATCATCTTAAGAATGTCGTCTATCATTTTAAGAATGTCACCTTTGATACATATCTATTTGTTTGTAAACGAGCCATGGTGAAGTCACTACATGGGGGTGGCCTAATCCCTATTGACTTGGACAAGGCATAGAAGATCTTTTCATCTAATTCCTTCTCTACCCCAACTTATCCTCCCGAGAGAAATCTGAATTGTATAGATCAATTCGACTAATTTGGGTTTAGTGTAAAGATATTTAAAGTAGTTTTCTTATAACCTGCTTCAAGTTTTCTCTTCACAAAAAGACTAGAAAAAATAGTTTTTGATCCATCAGAATCTCAACCTTTGCTTTTAGGAGATTTCTTCCATGTTTAGCTAGTAGGCAAACTCTAATTTAGCCATACATCTATATCTCTCCAAACAAGAGAAAATCACATTGACGTCCTTCTTGTCTAAATATAACCGCCCGACCCCACTAATGTGAGTACGGACGTCGGCACACACATGTTAACCATTAAGTATACAAAATTTAGATACATGCAGCGGTTTTGTACATTACACTAATTCATCTCTTGTAGTTCATTGTGTCAAAATACAATACCATGAGGTAACACATTATGATTCCAATACAAGAGTTAACAGTAGGAACAAATAACCTTAATTACAAGTTTTACTAAAGTCCAGGTTCGGGTCCCCTACTTGTTCCTTACTGGTCTAGAATTTGTTCCGGGTTCTCCTAATCTGAAAAATTGCTACTATGAATTTTGGGTGAGCTTTATTTGCTTAGTAAGAATATGATAGTATTCTATTCACAAAGGCAAACCTAATGTAACCCACATGCAAGTGGCAAAGAAATGCATTTAACAAGAAGGTTTTTAGTTGTAGACTGCTGAAAACTTCATAGTAAGATTTATTTAATTGCTTTTGTTTAGAATACCTTTTTTGACTTACTTGCTTACCCATTACCCTTTCCTCTTAGAATCCTTACACAGACTATGTATTTTTGGCAGTGTTGTTAGTCTTATCATTCTTAAAGTGTCAAATTCTCTTTAACCTTTTTCTACCACCTTTGTGACACCGACACTTCTTTATCCCGAGGTTACTTTTCGAATTATCTCAAAAAATTATTTTAGGTTGACTGCTTCCTATGCCAATACATATGCTTATGGTTTCTCTTCTATTTTTCTAAATCACTTGCCCATTCGCTAATGCAGTTGTTCACACATTTACTTGCACATATAATCACAATTCACAAAATTCACTAAGACATTTGAGGACAAACACTTACACATTTGATCACATATTCACTCTTACATTCATTTACACTTTTGCTCTTACTGGGATTCCATTGTATGATATTGTTTTTACCGGTATCAACGAGGGCACAAAGGATTCCCTCTATCACATGGACAGAAACACATATCACATATCGAATTGGTCACAGTAGTAATATTTACTAGGTGACCCACACACATCACATTCCCATCCACATTTGGATTGGACACTATCATCCATCCATGGGTAGAGTTCATCACACATCTCGCTAACAAGCACACACCCTTCATTGATACGTGGTCAAACGGACTTTGGTATCTCATTAACACCCTTAAATTCTCCTTTTCCTTTGTTTTATGTTACTCCTGAATTTGATATGTTTTTTTTTTTTTAAATAAAAAGTGTAAAAAGTATATTAATAGGTACCAATGAAGTACCATTCATGTACAATTATATTTATAATATAGTGATATAATGTATGATATTTCTAAAATCATCGCACCTATACATGTCATGACTTAACATAAGCGAACCATAAAAATGCAACCACCTATCCTTAATTCTTGTCATCTCATCCTTGATACCATTAAAAGCCCTACTATTTCACTCTTTCTAAATAACCCAAAAAATAACTAAAGGTATAAGCTTTAAGTGACTTTTCATTTTACATAACCCCTTTCAAGCCCATAATTCCCCCCTCTCCGATCCAACAATCACCTATTTAATGCCAATCAGATTATACACGATGGTTCAAAGCTCATAAATCACCAGGCACCAGAGAAGAGTACAAGATTCTGCATCTTTTTTGCATAGATAGAAACCATTCACCATAGTTCGGCTCATTCTCATAAGATTATCAATAGTCAAGATGCAGTCTCTCCCTACTTCCGAAGCAAAAAAAACAACTCTAGGCGAAACGTGAACTTTCCAAATCTGACTAGCCAGAAACCAAACAACCCCCTCCCTCTGATTGCCAACCAAATAATGATAGTAGGACTTAACAGAAGAGTTGCTGTTTTTAGTCAACTTCCACACAGTGCAGTCTCTCTCATCACTTACTAGATCAGTGAGTCACTTCCATGGTGGGGCAAGAAGGGGTAGTCAAATTGGAAGAATTCAATATAAGCAAGGCTGTTACCGACAAGGTGGCAAATGCCCTGTCACGAAGAGAAGTTGGACAATGGGGACAGCTACCAATTTGACCACCAACATTGCAGTAGAGCTGTTGGTGGTAGCTGCTGTGATTACTCCTGCCTGGCCTAATGAAGTGGACCTCAGCTACCAAGGTGACACCTCTCTCAAGGGCCTAGTGGCCGAGTTATTCTCCACTCTCGAAAGCGGGCCCCCCCCTCCTTTCCCATGACCAGCAAAATGGGGGATGGTGATCAGGTGCAACACAAACTTGAGGAACAAGCTCCTTCATTAGTGCGATAATTCAGCTATCGGTGGACACTGGGGTGTCAAGACTACTTATGTGAGTGCTTTAAGCAACATTTCTTTTGGCCATGCCTGAAACAGCTCGTATCACAATGGGTTAAGACTTGCAGTGTTTGTCAAAGATGTAATAGAAAGTGAGTCCCCATTCTTTGATTACGACTGCCCTTCGATGCTCTTATTCAAGCTTGGATTCATGTATTGTTTGATTTCATTAAACCACTTCCGAAGTCCAAGTCTAGGGATACCATACTAGTAGTGCTTGACCATTTCACCAAATATGGTGACTTCATTCCACTTACCATTCATTCATAGCCCAAGGGATTGCCAGAATCTACATGGATTCCATCCATAGGCTACATGGAGTTCCGCAAATCCTGATGTCGGATAGAGATAAGTTTTTATCATTCTATCTTGCCTGGAACTAACGAAGCTGTTAGGTGCTGAGATACACTTTAGCTCAATCTTTATCACCCTCAAACCTCAAACTGAGAGGCTTAATCAGTGTTTGGAAATGTACTTCAGGTGTATGGCTCATCAACAACTAAAGTCCTAGACAAAGTAGTTGGCAACTGGTGGTACAACAACACATACCACTTGAGCTTGAAAAAAAGCCCACTGCCCTATTTTTCTGAAATGATGGACCTCCAAAAACCCTCACAACTTTGTAGAGGAATACATGGCCGAAAGGGAGCAAGCAAGCAAGCTAATTAATTGCCAACACCTTCTCCAGGCTCAATACCGTATCAAGCAATATGCTGACAAGCATCGCAGTGAGTGCCACTTCCAAGAAAATATAACCTGGTGCTTCTCAAATTACAGCCTGACCGACAAGGCTCACTTCTCAAGGGAGAAACCCCCAAATTGCCCCCACAGTTTTATGGGCCGTTTACTGTCCTACAGAAAATTAGCAAGCGGCTTATTGGCTTAAGCTATTTCCTGCATCCCAATTTGTCCTGTTTCTCATGTCTATCAGCTGAAGAAGTATGTGTCAAGTAGGCAAATCCATGTTAAAGAGTTGCATGAAGTCAATCAAGAAGTGATAGTCAGCGTTCAGCCTGAACAGATCCTACAGCACAGAAAAATCTTTAGATGGCAAGGAGGTAGACCAAATGCTAGTGTATTGGGCAGGAACTAGCAAGAAGGACTGCACTTGGGGAAGATTCATAGTTCTTCTTCCAGCAATTTTCCAGCCTTGAGGACGAGGGTTTATATGTAAAAGGAGATTTAAGAGAGTGAGGGAATGGTTAGTTAATTGGGTTCCATTCGAATACTCTAACCATTCTATATATAATTGAAGAAGAAATAAAAACAAGACTTAGCAGAAATTCAAATATCTAAATTCTTGATCTCGCTCTCTTTTTCCTCCGTTCTCTCTCTCATTCTTCGCTCTATCTTGCTCTGGCTCTCTCTCTGTTCTTCTTTGAAGTTTTGAACAGTCAAGAGCTCAATGACAAATGCTCTTGACAATTGAGTAGTCAGTATGTTAATTTTATCCTATCAACGTGATTTCACATTTCTGAACGATTATGTGTTCTCATTATTTTTTTCGAAATAAATTGTGTTCTCATTATATTTGCTATGGAAGAGAATGGCCGAGCATAGGGTTTGGTAAGTATTCATTGTGAAGCTCGAAGATCAAGATTTTATATTATCATCACTTCAAAACTCGGTAAAGAAGTTTTCTCTAACTAGGGAGAATGATGCAGAGTGGCTTAAGTTTATATTGCCTAAAACGCTCTAAATTTTCTTTAAATATAAAGTTATTTTATTATTTGAGAGTCTATTACTATAATTTAGTAATTTTAGAATTCTATTTTCTTTTAGTATTAGTTCCCTGTTTTTATTA